GCATGACCTTAACACATCTAGTACCCTTCATACTTCTAATTATATATAGAGTATCTCTAACAAAACACAAGAAATGTAATACTGTTTCTAGTTAGGGAATTTGTGTGGCTAGGGAGAAACACTTCCATATATACTATTTTGAGTCTAGTATGTTGTGCATATATTATCTATATTTAAAAATAAATACTCTTTTAGGAATGGAGACATTAAGAGAGTTCCCTTAAACAATATAATGAATTTGCTAGCCAGCTACTTCTTCCTGGATCTGTTTTTTAAATGTCATCCCTAATTTTGGAATAAAGAAATAGTTCTCAAGTTAAGCATGTTTCAGACGTAGACTGGTGAGAGAGAAGACTTTAAGCAGAAGACTTTTCCATGTCTCAAATCCTGCTTGACCCTTCTGATTAGGGAAAGCCCTATATTTGAGAGATTCTCCAATTCACTGTTCAGATTCTTCTCTAGCTCTAGAGATGGCAAGGCACTTGAGTCATTTAGAGTATCCAGAAGGAAATTGTTGGTCTTGTCTCAGGCAGTAAGTCACCAAACCATTTTTCTTAAATTTCTATTGTCCCAGTGACAATCGCACAAACACCAAGAAATTAGTTTCTGATGTCAGTCTTGGTAATCTATAAATGATCCTCAGGTCTGCCATTAATTTTAGAGATTAATCTATTCTCTTGGACTGATAACTTTTTAAACATCAGTGTATCACGTGCATATAATGTTTTATATCTGCTCCTGTAGGAAATAAAAATTCATTCAGTGAATAAGGGTATATAGAAATGGAACTCAAAAAAATGAAAGGAAGGAAGGAAAGAAGCAAGAATAACAAGTGGAATTAAGAGAGAGACTCCATGTTCTGTTAGAGAGGGGACCTACCCATTCCATTCGCTTTCTGTTGTGCAAACCTCTGATCAGGTACCAGCACTAACAGGTGAGATCCAGAAATCATCACCCCACCTCATGAAGCCAAAGGCTTCAGTTTTCACTTCCACAGTCTTTTTGTTCACTCTCTGTAAAAATTATCGTTCATGCCCTCAAGGCTTTTGCTGCAGAGTTAAGGAGACAGTATTTCAGCAGAATTGATGCCGTATGGAAATTCTACAAGTACAAAATAAAATACTCAAAACAGATGAGAAATTTGCAGTAGTGGTAGAAACACAGAATTTGGTATTGAATGATCCCAAGTTGGAATTTCATCTTTACTACTTAGAAACTGCAAAGACCTGGTCAAGTCTTAACCCTTCTGAGCCTTTCTTGCCCCAACTGTAAATGAGACTAATAACACTGAACTTGCTTAGTTGTTTGGAGGACTAAATGGCACCACTGGGAAGTGTGTAGCATCTTTGGCACAGAGATGTGAAATAAATGCGATATTATCACTTCCTTTCTAAATGCTGGCATTGCACATACAAAGCTTTATGTGGAGATAACATTGCTGAAACCAAATAAAAATGAGGAAGCTGAGACCTGGAGAGGCTAACAGTCTTCCCAAGGCCCATGCCACAAGTAGCAGGGCTAGGATGTGGACTTTTTTTTTACTATTCTGTCCTTCCTTATGAGGTATATAAGTTTTGAAAAATAAGTGTGACTCATAGTCATTTATCTCTATAGCCTCTCCTCAGCATAAGCCAGCAACCCACCCACAGTGAAATGATTAATAGACTGCTTCTGGAATAAGTGAGCTTTAGAAGAAGTCATTGGTATTGCTAGACAGAGCCACTGAGGTAGTCTAGGGTGAAGGAATGTTATTTAAATATGTAGAGATAGGAATGGGGGGTGGTTGGTGGGGGAGAAAATGCTCAGAACTCTGCCAACAAGCAGTTTTGCTTGCATGGGCCAAGAGCATTAAAATTGAGGAGGCTATGCAATAAAGAGATAAGAATCATATGTATAACCAACTCCAAGTTTTTTTATTAAAGCAATAAATTAGGGTCAGTCTTTCATTAATGGCCTATTATTTCATCTAATCATAATTTTTCAAAGCAAGGAAGAAGTAAAATTTTAATAGCCTTGTCAAATAGATTCCTGAAATATCCCAATCCAGTATCTTTTTTTTTTTTTTTTTT